GCCGTGTGCGCCGCGGTGCTCAAGACCACTGGCGCGATTGGCTACGCGTTCACCGGCGGCTGCAGCGTCGTGTACAACGCGAGGAAGCCCAACAACCCGAAGCGCGTGATCGCCGCGCTCAAGAACGCCGCCGGCGTCGCCGTCGCGCCGCCCTCGTGGGTCCCCGGCGCGGCGCTCGTGGGCGCGCCTCCCGCAGCGGACGGGTCGTGGAGCAGCGTGGATTTCATCTGGAAGGCCGGGGCGAAGACCCCTGCGATGGTCTCCATGGAGTATGGGTTCATCCGCAAGTCGCTGACGGGCGTGACTGGCGGGAAGATTGCCAAGGCGTTCATGCAGTTCATGATTGCGAAGCTGAAGAACGGTGGGTATGGGTTCAATGCGGTGCCTGCTAATTGGAGGAACCCGTCTATTGCCATGGTGAATGCCATTGCTGCGTAGAATTTTGGGGAGAATGTAAGCAACACGGTGGAAAAGCCAGTGTGGTAGGAAGGATGGTTGGGGAGTGGAACCCAATTGACGGGCGATGAAGCATGTGTGGTAGGGAAGTTAGTGCTGAAGTTTTTGCAGGGGAAGGAGAGGGGGTGGTGGTACTGTAGTAGATGCTCTTTGGTGGAGAGAGGTTGGTTATGGGGTGCTAGTTTATCTCAGTGAGGGAGGAGAGATGGAGGGAATTTGTGTCTAGGTGCAATTACCAATGATAATGGATGTAATGGGACAAATGCACTCAGTTTCAAAGAGGCAAAAGACAATGCAGTGGTGTAGAGAATTAGGTTCATGTGCCCAGGGCCTCAGAAGTCAGGATTTTTACCCTGAATTCCTGAAGTTTGACCCTCGTTTTTTAACATGACCCTGATCCATCAGCCTTTTTTTTTAAAAGACCCTGATGTTTCAGTGTTTTTAAATTTCGAACTCTGATTTTCCAGTGTTTATATCGAGCGCGACCCGGAATCAGAAATTCCCGCCTTGCCTTTTCGCCGTGATTGGCGGCGTCACTTGCTGCCTAGGCAGCCAACCACGGTACCGTACCTACAGTGCGTTTTTGCCAAGATCGAGCTCATGAGCGATGATGATTGCCCAAATTCCTCGCTAAGCTAAGTCCCTTGACGAGTACAGCGATAACAATCAACGTATCAGTGAATAACAACGCTTACTGGTCAGCCTTTATATTTTTTGAACACTGAAAAATCAGTGTTTTCAACACGACGACACTGAAAATCAGTGTTGGCCTTCAAGGGACACTGAGCGATCAGCGTGCCCCAAAACGAATCTGAGGCCCTGCATGTGCCATCCCATTCCCGCCCACTCCTTTCACCTACAGTACTACCTCCTGTGCACTAGGACAGTGTGCAGCCTGTGCTAGTGCAGTGTAGTGCTACTATTTGAGGCGCCTAAAAAATATCCTCCTTTCTCCTACTACTCCCATGCTCTATGGCAGTACACCCCTTGCTACGGCAATGTAGTGCGTCTACTTACGTAAGAGGCGACAAAAAAATCCCCTCCTTTGACCTACTACGCCCCAGCACTAGGACAGTGCATGACCCATGCTAGGGCAGTGCAGTGCGTGACATGTGCTTACACAAAAAGTCCATGCCATAAGTCCATGTCTTCTGGAAAGCACAGACCTATAGAGGGAGGGATATATGGAGAGCAGGATATTGGGTGGGTAAAAAATAGGAAGCAGGGAAAAATGGAGGCAGGGAGAAGGGAGGGTGAGAAATATGGAGGGAGGTAGATAGGGGTGGTAGGAGAGGTGGGTGAGAGAAGATGGGGCACGGGAAAAGAGGGAGGGTGGGAAGAACGGGGAGGGTGGGAGAAAAGGAAGGGTGGGAGAGGAGGATGAGAGAAGAGGGAGAAAAGGGAGGGTGGGATAAAGGGAGGGGAGGGGGGGAATCAACAACAAATGGAGGCAGGGAGATAGGGAGGGTAAGAAAAAGGTAGAGAGAAGGGAGAAGCTATACAAACAAAATAAGGAAGGAAAGAGAATGTGATGGAAATGTGGAGGGTTGGAGGATGGTAAGGGGGGAAACGAAGAGGGGTTGGTGTGGGAAAGCAGCACAGGAAGCAGGAAGACATAAGAGTGTAACTGGGGGGTTGGGGGGCAGTATGTGGGAGGGGAGAGGGTGGTGAGTGGGTGGTGAGTGGGTGGTGAGTGCGGGAAGGAGGGCGACGGGCAAGGTAAGTAAGGGCCACTGAGCCTTCCACCCCCCTCTCTCACTCCAGGGAAAGTGGTGGCGACTCTCCCTCCCACCCCCCTCTCTCACACCAGGGGAAACGATGGCGACTGGAAGTGACTGCTCATGCCTCCTCCCGCCTCCCCATCCCTTCCTCATTCCCCCCCTGCAGTTCCCCATAATATGCTAGACAGACCGTGGCGTATATACGCGAATACGTCATACGCTTGGAACACGCTCAGAAATGTGCAGGCTGCCCGCGAAGAATAATAATCAGAAACAAAATCATCAGATTCGAGTTTTCGACACAACACGTCGCAAACTCGAACACAACTCTCAAATTTGTTGATTCAACAGGTGGAGTTTCTCCAACCGCACTGCATCACATTATACCTCCCAACTCCAACCCAAACACCACAGCAAGGCGACACAGCATCGACTAAAAGCTTTGAGCTCAACCCACGCAACCTTGTCATTCTGTCTTTTCCTTGCTAGATTTTCCTAGACACAGCTTAGCTTACCTTCTCAACCCAGCGCCGTGTCGACCCCCCTAAGCACTCCTGAGAGTGCAAGTGCGGATGTGCCTGGTGCTTCAGCTGTGGCTTCTAGCCCAACAAAGTATTTTTCAGGCGGAACGAGAGTTTACCTGATAGCCGGAACATATTTCAGGCGTATAGCCATACCCCTCAACGAGCGCATCACGACTTATACGCCAGCGTATAACACGTGAGACGCGCATATTTCCAAATTACAATTCCCCGTCGCGAGGGTAAACGGGGGAGGAGGGAGGTGAGTAGGAGAACAGGGGGGTGTAGTTAACGGTGGATGGAGGTAGGTGGGGGGAATAAGGGAGTAAATGAGGAAATGGAGAGAAGTAAGTGGGGTGAGGTGGACAGGGGAGTAAGTCGGGGCCTGGAGAAGGTAAGTAGTATAGGGAATGAGGGAGAAAAACTCTGGGGATTGAGAAAATTTTATGGGCAGAAAGTGCAGGAAGGAAGGATGAGTGGGAAGGAAAGATATGGGTATGTAGGGAATGAAGGGGAGAGAGTGCGGGACGGAAGGAGAGAGACTAACGAGAGATGGGGAGAGGGAAGGAAGGAGGGAACGAGGAAGGCGGAAAGTGGGGGGGCGGTTGTGGGAGCAAGTGAATGGCAGAGAATGTGAATGGAGTTGTGAAGCAAGTGAATTGCAGGGATAACTAGTAAAGCGTCTCTGTTACGGAATTGTGAATGGAAGAGGTATGTGGCGATGTTTAGGGAAGCGTGGGCGATGGGGTGGGAAAGCGAGGAAGACGGGGAGGCGGAAAACGATTGACAGGGAAGGCATTAGGACGAGAAGCGAGGGCGACGGGGAGGCGAAGCGAAGGCGACGGGGAGCGGAAGAGAGGGCGACGGGGAGCGGAAGAGGGAGCGATGGGGAGCGGCGAAGGCGAGGGCGATGGGACGAGAAGCGTGGGCGACGGGAAGGCGAAGCGAGAGAAGGCGATGGCATGGGACGCGTGGGCGACGCCGAGGGCGACGGGAAGAGAAGCGAGGCGGCGGTTAGGGGAAAGTAGGGTGACTGGCAGGACGACGGTATGTGAGGAGGGTGGTATGTGAGGGGAAGGAGGGAGGTATTTGAGGAGGAGGGAGAGGGTAGAAATTAGTAAGGTGAGAGATCGAACGACGAGTGAGAGGGAGGTGGCGACGGAACGGATCGAATGGCGGAGGCACGGGTCGAGGGTAGGAATGTAGCGAGCGGTCAGAGTTGAGAAACGGGAGGTATGGAGAGGCGAGAGGGGTCGAGCGACGAGAAAGATCGATAAACGGGCGGGATCGCGGTCCGCGAGTTTAGTAGCATGATAGAGACTATCGCAAGAGTGTTTATGCGACGATGGACGAGCAATGGGAGTGCCATTGGTTGTGGGATCGGATCCAGAAAGGTTAGAAGAATGAAAAGGCCGAAGTCGTTTTGGACTACTGTGCCATGAGTGCGTAGGTTTCACTAATGAACTAAATTGCACAGATTGAACACAGGATACCTAAAACGAGGATTGAATAGGCTGGAGTCGAGTTCAGCGAGGAAGTCGGCCCGGCAAAGTCAACGAGGCTGGGGACGTGGTTCGGGGCGAAAATTAGGGCCGAACCAGCTGCTGCGGTACCCTGGAACATACCCGCTAAAAGCTCAGCGAGAAAGTCGCTGGGGCAAAGTCAACGAGGCTCGGAAAGATTGAGCCGTGTCCGGTGGCGACTCGGGACGTGGTTCGGGGCGAAAAGTTAGGGCCGAACCAGCTGCTGCGGTTTCCTCGGAATATACCCGCTAAAGAAATCATAAGTTAAGGGTAGACTATGATTCTCAACTTATAGTAGTGTTACTGCTTGACGTGGTGTACACACTCTATGAGGCCTCTATTTGTGATGCCTCAATTTCTAGTGACTGTATCTGATAGCGAGGTTTTAGTAATGAAGGAGTTTGCAGTTGTAGCGGCGTCTTTCTTTTCTCCCCTCCGTGTACCCCTGTCCTTTCCCACCCCACTTCACCATACCGTAACCCTTCATTTTCAGTCGAGTCAAAGCACTACACCCAGCACCAAGCTCTCGCTCACGTTTCTTTATCTGCTTCCTAGGGGTTCTCACCGCACATCTCCCTGCTTACCTCGTTCCAATTAGCCGCATCATCCGCGTTAGACTGACGCGCTTACTTTCCTCGACAATATCTGTATGCTTCTTTATTCCCATGTGGTCTTTCTCCGTAAGGAGTTCTATCGTGGTTTTGAGCTGTTAAAGCTTTCATTTTTGTCAGTCCTGCTTTTTAACTTAGTTCCAATCTCACCCTTTCCAGATCCGGTCAATGACACTTCGTATGTCCCATCCGTTCTTTTCCTTGTCTCGTGCTTTTTTTGTTGCGGATCTCTCCCCCGTCTCCTCCTCAGGATAAAGTCAGAATCAGTAACCGGTATGACAGCTAACGGCGCGACTGATGCAGACGAGAAAGTGACTGAAAATGTTAAGGATGGTGTGATTGACTTGGTGGAGCAACCGGGATCTGACGTGGACAGAAAGGCTGACGTGGACAATGGGGATAAGAACGACGAAATTGATCTCGAGGGTGAACCTGAGGATGTGGACGGTTCGGCGGAAAAAGCGGAGAACGCGAGTGTGCCGGGAACAGCGGCGGAGGATGCGGATCAAGAGATGGTAAACGTCGACACCGACGGTCCCGACGCGCAGATTTCAGGGTACGCCATTCGTTACGAAAACGTTCGCCGGTCTTTCGCCGACCTGCAGGCGAAATCGGCGATGCTCGCGAGCTGCATCGCGCAGTGGCGAGAGCTGGACGAGTTTTTCGCCGCGAGCGAAGAGAGGCTCCGAAAGTGGGAGCAGGACTTAAGCGAGAAAGAGAGAGCCCTAGAGGAGAAGACGCGGACCGTTACAATGCAACTCGATAAGCGAGAGAGTGCGATCTCGTCTCGCGAATCTGCGTCGATGCAGCGAGTGCAGGAGCAGCGAGATGCAGCTTTTGCTGCTCTTGCGGAGGAGAGGAAGAAATGGCAGGAGGAGAAGGAGAAGAGCCGCGAGAAGGACAAGGCGGCGAGCGGGAAGGGCAAGGAAGGGAACGATAAGGCGAGGCGTGAGAGCGAGAGGAAAGAGAGCAGCGACAAGGCCAGGAAAGAAAGTGAGAGGAAGGAAGAGAATGAGAAGGATAAGAAGGAGAAGGAGAACGAGACGGAGAAGGAGAAGGAGAAGGGAACGGAAGAGAAGAAAAGGGAGGAGGAGGAGAAGGTGAAGCAAGAGGCCCGATCTGAAGCGGACAAGGAAAAGGACAAGGATAAGGCTTCGGCCTCAGCCCGTGCTACGCGCGCGGCCAGCGAGGATAAATCGTCTGCAAAGCACGCTGGCGCCGAGGCTGCTCCTCCTAGCGAGCCCGCCAGTAACGGAGCGGCTACAGCTTCTGCTACAGCCGAGCCCGCTACGGCTCACCCCAAGGATAGCAAGTCCGACAAGACCCCGAGATCCGGGGGCGAGACGGGGGAGGCGGCGGTGCGCGTGAGCGCGGAGCTGCGCGGGCTGTGCGCGGGGATGGACGCGGAGGGGCTGAAGCGCTACGTCATGCAGAACCGGCGCGACATTGCCCGCGTGCGCGCGGAGCTCCCGCACGCGCTCCCCCTCGCGCTCGACCCCTGCCGCCTCGTCCTCTCGTGCCTGGACTCCTACAAGCCCAAGGCCGTCGAAGCGCCCGCGGCCGGCGCTGCCGGCGCGGGCGGCAAGGATAAGCGGCGCGAGCCCGTCGAGCCGACCCACGTGCGCGCCGTTTCCCTCCTGGTGGAAACCCTAGGGCAGGTTCTGGCCAGGCAGGCCAAGGCGGAGGGGGTTTCCGTCCCCGTTATTGCGCCCTCGATACAGGAGAAGGCGCGGGGGATTCTGGAGGGGTGGGTGCGGAGCGGGGGGCCGCTGAGCAAGGCGGAGGAAGCTTCGTCGCTGGACGCGTGGCTGGTGCTGCAGGTGGCGGCGGTTTTTGGCGTGGCGCGGCAGGTGGGGGGAGACGAAGACGCGCTGCTAGGGTTTGTGGCGGCGTCCGCGCGCCGAAAGCAGACGGCGGACATGGTGAAGGCCATGGGGCTCGTGGAGAAGATGCCAGGTGGGGAGAATATACATGGGGGTGGGATGATGGATGTAGCGGCAACTGAGAGGCGCACAGTCTCATGTCGTATTGTATGCAGGCGGCCGACATGGTGAAGGCCATGGGGCTCGTGGAGAAGATGCCAGGTGGGGATCTCGCATGGGGATGGGGCCGTCTGGCTGTTGATAGGTAGCTCTGGCCGTGACCCAGTGTGGTGTGGTAACGGTCAATGCTATGGGGTTTGAGGAGAAAACGCCAGGTGCGAAATTCGTATGAGAGTGGTGGATGGAGGTAGCTAATCACTGGCAGGTGCGCTCGAGGCAGGCATTTATGGCCATGTGGCTTTTGATGAGTAGCTATGGCCGCATCGCATTGGCAGTGCGGTAACGGTCAAGGCCATGGCCCATGTCCTTGCTATTCATGGCATCGCATGGGCACTGCGGTAACGGTCAAGGCCATGGGCTCGCGGACCAACGCTCACCACACCACAGGAATGCGCATGTGGCGCATGCAGGGCAGCGCACGTTGTGATTGTGAGTTGCAGCTGCGTTGCTCTCAGCTGCCCGCTGGGCCGTAAGCATTGCTTCTGGCTGACAGAAGGCTTTAAGCGTTTGTCTGGCTGGCTGGCTGGCTGGCTGGCTGGCTGGCTGGCTGGCTGGCTGGCTGGCTGGAAGCATGACTTGTGAGTTGAAAGGGCCAGAATGCATGATCCTTACTGGCTGGATGCGTGGTGTGGTGGTGGAGGGACGCTCCTGTAAGCTGTCACAGCGGGGCGGTTGCTGTGACTATCTGATGCGTAACGTAGCATGCATGGGTTGCTTGCGTCGCACTGGTGGGTTGCTTCTCTGAGCTTCGAAGTCCAAGCATACGTGTGTGCACTGGCGGAATGTTCCCCATGCATATGCAACGCAGACAGTGTGCTATGTGTGTGCTTGCGGCTTCTTGCTGTGCCGTGTGCTGTGCTGTGCCGTGTGCTGTGCTGTGCCGTGCTGCATGCTGTGCTGTGCCGTGCTGCATGCTGTGCTGTGCACGGCCCCTCGCGTTTTCCAGGAAGTGTGTCGCTTGCGTCCTGCAGTGTTCTCCTCTCAACCCACTTAGCTTTCCAAATTCATTTGCATGAATCCGCTCATTTGTGGAAGTGGTATGCTCCTCCATCCCCATGTTTCCACTAGGACACGCAAGCTAACCCATAGCTGATCGACTGCTACAGCTCGCCTGTGCTTAAGGCAAGGCGCTCAGACGCCTCAATTGCTGAATCTTCCTCTGTCGTGCTGTCTTCCTCTGTCGTGCTGTCTTCCTCTGTCGTGCTGTTGTGCTGTGGCTCTGCTATGGTGTTGCATGGTTATGGTTGTGCTGTGCTGCCTGCAGTGGTGGTTGAGCGGCTGGTGAAGGAGGGGCGCGAGGTGGACGCCATCTACCTGGCGCATGGCGTTGACCTGCTTGACCACGTTGACCCCGTTGACCTGCTCAAACGCAACCTGCGGGAGATCCGCACGCTGGTCTCCGCCATGACCAAGAAGGACAAGTCGCTGCAGGCCGAGGTGCGTGGGTGGGTGGGTGGGTGGGTGGGTGGGTGGGTGGGTGGGTGGGCGTGTGTATGTGTTGCTTGCTATTGCGTGCCATACCGCGCAAGCAGTGTAATGCTGTGCAACCTCAGGGAGATCCTCACGTTCGTGGCCTCGGTACTCTTCCTACTGCCTGTGCCTGAGTCCAACCCAATGGCCTCAGGACTCAATAGCAATGACACGCGAAGCTTTGCAAGCAACAAACACTTGGCGTAGGCACTCATTCGCTGTGTGCTACTCCCTCTCACACCCCTGCCTCTGGTCGCTGCTGCTTTCCCTCACCCGTCCCCCTCCCTCTCCCCTCTCAGAACGAAGCGACGTCACGTGAGATCAGCATGGTGCGGGCCATCATTCGCTGTGTGGACGACTGCGGTCTCAAGACCCTTATTTCAACGGACAATCTCACCAAGCGCATCGAGCAGCTCGAGAAGAACCGCCAGCTGCGCAAGCAGCAGCAGGCTGAGGGGCACAGGCACTCATCCCCTGTGTGCCACTCCCCGTCACCCATCATTCCCTTTGGTGTTTCCTTTCTCGCACCCCTGCCCTTTTTCCCATTCCTCAGAACGAGGCAACCTCGAAGGAGATCAGCATGGTACGGGCCATCATCCGCTGCGTCGACGACTGCGGCCTCAAGACCCTCTTCTCAACCGACAACCTCACCAAGCGCATCGAGCAGCTCGAGAAGAACCGCCAGCTGCGCAAGCAGCAAGCACAGGACGCCAAGCGCGCCGCACACGAGACGCGCATGCAGCAGGCCATGGCAGCCAAGAGGCAGCGCCTCGCTACCAACCCGATGGTAGGCTTTGGTGGTGGTGGCGGTGGTGCGATCGCATCTGGCCCGAATGCTGTCACTGTGGCGAACCTGCGGGCGGCGGCCGCGGCGAGAGCTGTGGGCGGGGCGAGGGGTGGTGGTGCGAGGGGTAGTGGCGGCGGTGGCGGCGGCGATGGTGGGTTCAGCAGCGGGGGTAGTGGGGGGTATCATCTTGGTGCTAGTGGTGGAGGGGGAGGTGGTGGTGCTGGGGCGAGGGGTGCGGGAGTGTCCTCGTCTCCCCGCTCGTACGGCCGGTCTCGTCCTGGAGCAGCATCACCGGGACGAGCAGGCGCAGGGGGAGGTGGTGGTGGTGGTGGTGGAGGGGGGGGAGGAGGGAGCAGCAGATATGATCCGCCTCCTCCTAGGTACAGCGGGGGCGGAGGGGGAGGGGGCGGATATGCAGGCGGGCAGGGGCAGGTGCAGGTTCAACAGGGGCAGGGGCAGGCAGCGTATTCGCTTGGAGGGGCAGGTATGCCTGGGGGAGGTGCCATCTATGCGACAGCTAGTGGGGGAGCAGGCAGCCTGGGGCAGGAGGTGGTGTATGGGGTGGGAACCATGGGGTCAGGTCTTACCTCCCCAGGTGCGGGGGCAGGGCTAGGGGGAGGGCTGTATGCTGCAGGGGGGGTGGGGGGCTTGGGGAGTGGTTTGGGGGGGACGGTTACGTATGTGGCGGAGGCAGGGACTGGACCGCAGCTGCTGGTGCAGAGGGGCATGTATGGAGGGGAGGTGGGTGCGGCAGGTACGACGGTGTATTATGCGGTTCAGGGGGATCAGGGGCAGGCGGGTGGCGGAGTGGGAGGGGCGGCGGGGGGAGCGCAGCTGAGTGGAGGGCAAGCAACGTATGATTATCAGACCGGGTCGTATGTTGGAGGGGGGTACCATGGGGGTTATGGTAGGTGAGGGGGGGTTGGGGGTGATGAACGATGGTGTTGGATGTGGGGTGGAAGGGAACAAGTGGAAAAAGAATCAATTTAGATGACTATGGATGTAAATTTTTCATTGGTGACTGACATGCTAGATTGTAGGTGCAGGTGATGGTTAGGTACGGGTGCTGTACTTCGTTTGCACATTGTGCACCCCTGCTATCAATTGGCATGCTGTTTTTAATGGCAATAACCTTTTACTGGTACAGTACCATGTGAAGGTTAACTATATTGAATGGAGTAAGCCCTGAGGCTCTTGTGGTCTTACACGTGGAGTTACTTAATTTGTCTTGCTAGTCGGTCTCATGTCCACGTCAGTCAATCTGACGTGTATAGCAGCTGCAATAATTGTCGACGCCCCCAATCCCTGCACTTATCGACCCGCCAAGGCGCAGAACGCGGAATTCATCTTTTCCAGGCGGGCACCCGAAATCGTTGACGCTTACATCGAAAATGTCGGTTGCGTGGAGATTGGCCTGGATGCATCTGCCTTGCTGGTGCAAACGCTGACGGGAGGCAGGGCAACCTCCGTGGGCAAGTTCCGTCTCCGTTTCTTGTTCCGTTCACGTTCCCCATCGGCTTCCCCACCAGCTGGCACGGACGGAGACCCGCAAACTGCTTCTCCAGGCTTTCATGAGATTCTCCGCTTTCCACGTTTCTCGTTTCGCATCTGTCCCGCTTTCCGTCCACTTGACGGACGTTTCCTCCACCTCCAGCACCCAGAGAACATTTTTCCAACCTCCAAGAAAACTGCCAGGATCAGGAGATTTTGTTCAGACTTGAACTAACTTCATTCCGAAAAGAATTCGACAAATCTGGCTACTAGACATTCGGATCATAAGAAAAAATCGATACAGAAACTGCGTGCTTCGATTACTTCAGGAGTAGCTACTAGCATTTGTACAAGTTCTCCATAAATAGCGATTTGATCCCTTCGAATATGTCGGGTTACGTGACTCTCCGCGGTTCGGACGATCCGCAAGATGAGGGGCTGCTGGGCGGCACCAGCAGCCACACGGGGGAAGACTGGAAGGCGCGTCTCGCCACGATGGGAAAGAAAATGGGGGAATCGATGACCGCCGTCGGCGGAAAACTGACGGAATCGATGACGGAAATCGGCGACAAGATGAAAAACATCTTCCACACGCCGACGCTCGCGGAGCGTCTGGTCGAAGAAGCGACGGACGAGATCTTAATCTCCCCTGACTGGGGTCGAAATCTCTTAATCTGCGACCTTGTTAACTCGGGAAAACTCCCGGGAGGCGAGACGGTGCGCGCGATTAAAAAGCAGCTCGCGTCGCGCAACTCGCACGTGCAGATGCTGGCGCTCGCGCTGCTGGAGATGGCCGTTAAGAACTGCTCGTCGTTATTTTCTGACGTGGCGAACGAGCGCGTGCTCGATGACATGGTGCGCATCGCGGACGAGCCGCACAGCGCGGCGCAGCTGCGCGAGAAGGTGCTGAAGATGATCGAAGCGTGGGGGGAGGCCACGGAGGAGCTGCGATACCTGCCCGTCTTCGAAGAAACTTACAAGGTAAGATTGGGAGAGAGGAGCGGGCTTGGTTCTGAGCAGCTTGGCGCAGCTGCGCGAGAAGGTGCTCCAGACAATTGAGGCCACGGAAGAGCTGCGGTACCTGCCCGTCTTCGAAGAAACGTACAAGGTGAGAAGATTGGGGGAGGGGGGGGAGCGGGCTTTGGTGCCGAGCGGCGCGGCGCAGCTGCGGGAGAAGGTGCTGAAGATGATCGAGGCGTGGGGGGAGGCCACGGAGGAGGTGCGGTACCTTCCTGTCTTCGAAGAAACGTATAAGGTAAGTTGGTATTAAGTTGCGCTTCACCTCGCTTCACTTCGATTCAACTCGCGCCACCTCATTTCGTCTCGCTTCGCCTCCCTTCACTTCGCGTCGCCTCACTTCATCTCGCTTCACCTCGCTTCATCTCGCCCCTCGCTCCATCTCGCTTCACCTCGCTCCACCTCGCTTCACCTCGCTTCACCTCGCTTCGTCTCGCTTCGTCTCGCTTCACCTCGCCTCGTTTCACACCGCTTCACCTTCGACAAGATGCGATGCGATGCGATGGGATGATGCGATGTGAGGTACCGCGTGACAAGATACGATGCGATGTGATGTGCGCCTAGTGGGCGAGTCAAAAGTCATTGTTAAGGGTGGCGCGTTGAGACGTTTGACTATGACGGCGCGTCCAAATTTGGCGCTTCGAAACAGAACCAGTGCGAACGATTAGGTCCTAGACATATTTCTAAGTCGACTCAAACTCCCTGCCGTGCTCGCGATAGCTTCCCAGCCTACGTTCGAGTCAATAAAGCGTCATAGGGGGTGGTCGAAACTATTCTTCCTCTCTCTCCCTTCACCTTCTGTACCTCCCAGAGCCTCAAAATGCGTGGGGTGGTCTTCCCACCCCGCGACGCTGAGTCCTTCGCGCCCATCTTCACGCCGCCCCTCTCTCCCTCTCCCACTTCTCCCTCACCCTCTCTGCTTCCTCCAGAGCCTCAAAATGCGTGGCGTGGTCTTCCCGCCCCGCGACGCCAAGTCCCTCGCGCTCATCTTCATGCCGCCCGCCAGTGTGCCGCCCTCATTCAGATGCGTGGGGTGGTGTTCCCATCTTTCTCCTCTCTCCTGCTTCTCCTTCTGCACCTCTCAGAGCCTCAAGATGCGTGGAGTGGTCTTCCCACCCCGCGACGCCGAGTCTCTCGCGCCCATCTTCACGCCGCCTGCCAGTGTGCCGCCCGTCGCCGTGCAAGCCGTTTCTAGCCCTCTTTCCATTCAACCCCTTCCTTCCTCTCCCCCGCCTCCACCATTTGTACCTCCCAGAGCCTCAAGATGCGAGGAGTGGTCTTCCCGCCTCGTGACGCTGAGTCTCTCGCGCCCATCTTCACGCCGCCCGCCAGTGTGCCGCCCGCTGCCGTGCAAGCCGCCCACGCGCTGCTGGAGTCGGTGGAGGGGCAGATGGCCAATGAGGTGGCGCCACCTGGCGTGTCGATGGTCCCGCGGCCCGAGGGCGGGCACATGGTGGTGTTTGACAGCAAGGAGATCTTTGAGATTTCCAGGAATAGTGTCGAGTTGCTGGGGACTGTGCTTTCCTCTGCTCCTCCTGAACAAGTGCTCACGGTAAGGGTAAGAGGGAAAGGGAGGGAGGAGGGGAAGGCAAAGGGAGGGCGGGCACATGGTGGTGTTTGACAGCAAGGAGATCTTTGAGATCTCCAGGAATAGTGCCGAGTTGCTGGGGACTGTGCTTTCCTCTGCTCCTCCTGAACAAGTGCTCACGGTAAGGGACGGAGGGAGGTAGGGAGGGAGGGAGAGAGGAGAGGATGGAGGGAGAGAGGGCGGGCACATGGTTGTGTTTGACAGCAGGAGATCTTTGAGATTTCGTGGAATAGTGTTGAGCCGCTGGGGACTGTTCTTTCGTCTGCTCCGCCCAAACAAGTACTGATGGTGAGGGAGGGAAGGGGAAGGAGTGAGGGAGGGAGGTATTGAGGGAGGGAGGGCGGGATAGAGGGAAGAGTGAGTTAGGGACAGGGAGAAGGGAAGAGTTAAAGATGGCGGGAGAGGAAGAGGGATGGGGGTAAATTTATCAATTACAAAAATTGTTGGATACAGTATTGAACTGCTGGGTGGCCAAACAGCCTCGCAAGTGTTAAAACCACCTCAAGAACAAAGTGACATTGTTGGGTGCATGATGCGTGGTTGGGTGTATGATGCGTGGTTGGGTGCATGATGCATGGTTGGGTGCATGATGCATGGTTGGGTGCATGATGCATGGTTGGGTGCATGATGCGTGGTTGGGTGCATGATGCATGGTTGGGTGCATGATGCATGGTTGGGTACATGATGCGTGGTTGGGTGCATGATGCATGGTTGGGTACATGATGCGTGGTTGGGTGCATGATGCGTGGTTGGGTGCATGATGCGTGGTTGAGTGCATGATGCGTGGTTGGGTGCACGATGCATGGTTGGGTGCACGATGGCATGGTTAAGTGCGTGGATATCATTGCCATCTTATAACACGGCGTAGATGCTAAGATAGCAGGGGGCACTTGCTACCACAACCCCACCCATGGTGCTGTCATCTCACCCATCTCACCCAAGGAAAGAGTGAAGGATGTAAAGCGAAGGATGTAAAGCCACATGCCACTTTACATCCTTCACTCTTTCCTTGTTCTCCATTTCTTCCCTTCCACATCCACCCTTTTACAAAGCACATCCGGAACACCTGAGCCTGAACTCTTTTCCCAACCTGAACTTTATGTTACATACCCTTAACTCCTGTCCCGTACACCTACTTGAACTTCCTGTCTCATACTTGAAACCCAAACCCCGCAGGATGAGGTGGTGCCTGCGCTGGCAGCACAGTGCCGGGCAGCCAAGAGCAGTCTGCTGCGGCTGATCGAGCACGAGAACAGCAACTCAGAGGCCCCCAGCGAGACACTCCTGTTCGAGGCGCTCAGCCTGAACGATGACATTGACAAAGTACTTGAAAAGCTGGCTGAGCTGCGCAAACAGGCCTCCGCTGCTGCTGCTGGGGCCGGAGCAGGAGCAGGGACGGGAGCAGGAGCGGGTGCAGGAGCAGTAGGGGCAGGAGATGCAGCGGCAGCGGCAGCTGCGGCAGCAGAGCAACCAGCAGGTGCGGCTGCAACGGCGGTGCCGCCGGTTGTGCCTCCCCCAGCTGCGGCCTTCCTGACTATGGATGAGGAGGAGGAGGGTGGGGCGGGTGGGCTTGTGCGGAACCGGGGAGGGGGGAATAGGAGAGCGGGGATGAGTGAGGAGGAGAGGGAGTTGGCTGAGCTGGATGAAATGGTGTTTGGAAGGAAGGAGGGAGGCGGGGGGGCAGGGAGTGGTGCTGGTGCGGGCGGTGGTGCTGGTGCGGGCGGTGGTGCTGGAAGTACACAGAGTGGGGCGGGCAAGAAAGAAGAGGAGGATTTGATTGTGTTTTGATGATAGCATCATGGACGGGCTGGAACAAATGAGGAGGAGGGTGAGCTGGATGAATTGGTGTTTGGGCACAAGGAAGGAGGAGGCGGGACAGGTGGTGCTGGTGATGCGGGTGGTGGTGCTGCTGGTGGGAATACACAGAGTGAGGCATGCACAGAAGATGAGGATGATTGCGTTTTGATGTTTTTTGGGTTGAGTTTTAGAAAAAAACAGGGGGTTGGTTGAGCTGGGTGAGGTGGTGTCTGGGGGAAGAAACCAGAGAGGTAAGAGGAGGGAGGAGTGGGGCGAGGCGAGAGAGGGGTTCATCAGACATATGGTGTGACTGCTGGTGGTTTTGCTGCTGCTGCTGCTGCTGCTGCTGCTAGTGGTGGTGATGATAAGGAGCATACAAGGACAATGAGCTATTAGGGATGGATTGAGTTCAAGTACCTACTTCAGTTCAGGAGTCACATTGCACGAATGTGTAGGGACAAGGCTGGATTGTGTGAGGTTGGTTGCTCCAGTTAATGTATAAATCAGGGGCTGATTCTCTTTGGTAGATTCATAAACTGGGAGACTTGGAGGAGCACCTGTATCTATGACTGTTTGTTGATATGACCGCTCAATGAACGTGAGTTTGCTATGTCCATCGACTATTGTTTGCTTTCCTGGTTAGCCTTTTCCCGTTTACACAGTGCATTCTTAGGATAGGCGAATGCACGTACAAAGGAGGATATGGTATGTGGCTGGCTCATTCCATTCTAGAACTGAACAAACCCCGCCCTCACAGCATGGCGCAGCGGGATTCACATGCAATGCCGAAAGCATCCTTCGTCTGGTGACTTCATCGCTAATGCCGAAAGCATCCTTCGCCTTTCGGGTTTCTCGTCGAGAATTCCAATTCGAGTCGACGAGGTAACGTGATTCGAGTCCAGATCAACAGAGCAGCTCAGGAAGGGACTCGGCACTGTGGTTGCAGAAGCACTCCTTTCGTAAGGCTCCTTCAGAGAGGAGGAACGGTTTGGTAAGGTAAAATGCATATTTTCAAGGTTACATGTGGTAATGCTGGTTCTTGAAGTGATTCTGCAAACCAGAAGTGAAGGGGATGTCTTGCGTGATGTTTGCGTGATGTTTGCGTGAGTTCCCGAGGGTTGCGTGCGTTCGAAATCCAACGGCTGTACTCCCTGGGATCCATGCCGATATGTCCCACGAGAATGTGACAGGGGAAAACAAGCAGTCCATCCGGGCCCTGGTGGGAGGGTTTCCACCAGGTCCCCCTCCTGGTGGAAAGGCCTTTCCACCAGGGCCGCACGCGGATGCACGCTGTGTCGCGACCCCCAGCTGGGAAACGCACGCGAGCGGGAGTCCCCCGCCCGCCTGCAAGTCCCTAGCGAGATTCGGGCGGCGGAGTCAGCTGGCGGGGTGGTCCCGCGCCGAGCCCGGGCCACGCCAGCGCCACGCAGTGTGGTCCCCCCCCCCGGGCCCAGCCCTGGCTCGCGAAACCCCTCGCGAATCCACTCGCTCTCCAATCCGGTGTCGAGAGCCCAACCCTCAGCGCGCCGAAACAAAACCAGCCAATCAGAGCCGTTCCCGAGTGGTTTGTCACTCGGAGAACCCTCGCGAGGCGGTCCGCATGCGAATCCGCGCGTGCGAAAGGAAATGCGGGCTGGCCGAAACGGATTCGGCCAATAAGAGCAGGTTTCCGAGCGACGGGCGAATCGTAGACGACCCACGCCTGCGAAGCGGTACCCGTGGTGCCCGAAAAAGTGCAGGCCAATCGCCGTCGTTTACGAGAGTCGGACAGCTCGCACGAGCCTCGCGAACAACCTTTTTGCGAAAAGGATCTCGAGTCGAAATTTTCGGTACGGAGTGTACTCCATTGGAATGACTAATCGAAAAAATTTTATATGCATCGGGGAATTACTCAGCCGCGCATGTACATGTAATATAACGGAGTGTAGTGCTAATTCGGGTGACCCGATGGTAACATCGGAACTCGGCGGACGCGACGAGGAAAATTCACTCCGCGAGAGTCGGTAACCCGCCCCGAACGGGTCTCGCGGAAGTGGGCTGCGCAAGCGTGCATGTTGCGGAACCTCCTGCCTTGTCAAAGTCGAAAGCGGCGCGGGTTGAGAGGCCCGCGCTGTTTGACCGCGAGTGCCGTTTCTTGATTCCCCCGTGGCCCCCTCTTAGGTTCTCGGTAAGGGCATTTGGTGCTCATTTTCGTTCTCCTCCTTCACAACCTGTTTTCTTCCTGCTCGCCCGTTCCACGTAGCGGTCTTTCAAAGCCTAGTGCAAGTAGAGACTCTGGCTGACCGCGATCGCGCGTGCTCGCGTGCATCTTGGTCTTTTTTAAACGCGAGCATCGTTTAGCGGACCGTGAATCCTAGATCCCCCGTACCTGTGGTCGCGCTCTTGAGGTGGTACCGGTGATGAACCGCGAAATGAAGGCGCTTAGAGCTGGGTCGATGGCGGCCGCCTCCTGTCCGGCCAACATCTCTGTTGCGGGAGCCACGGTGGACCTCCCCCCCGATCAGTGGAAGCTGCTCGCTGATGACAAGCATCCGTTCACGGCCCGTCTGTTCGACTTCGTCGCTTGGTGAGATCCATGCATCCCAATCCCTGATTCCACTGTGCACGCGTTGTTGGTGGTCGCGTGGTATAGCATGATCGCGACATGTCCGCGGTATGCACTAGTGGACTGTGCAAGGCGCGTCGTATTCCCGCGGTGCTTTTATGTAGCCTTGTTTGTGTCCGTGATTTCCCCCGCTGTGTTTTACCTCTTCCCGCACAGCGTGATTGTCCGGAGGTTTTTGGAGAAGGAGGTGCAGGAGCACGTCCGGGTCGTGACGAGCGATGTGGTCGCGGACATTGTCGCGGGTCGCGATGAGGCTGTCAAGGCCTTTGCCGGTGTGATGGAGTGCAGCCTTGTTGCATTCTGCATCTGGACCGAGTGAGTGTTTATTTTGGAGTGTTCACTGGTATTGTTTCTCGCACTCGATTACGTGGGTTTACGCGGTCGTTAATGTAACGTGCAGGGACTTGGTGGACAACAAGTGCTCGAACGCGAGCATGCTCCTTATGCTCCACCCAGATCACCTGTCGATTGACGGTGACGAGAATTGGCACACGCGATTCGTTCGCGTTGCTATTCCACCTGGTGGGAAGGAACACGTGACCGCGGCGGAGGCAATTGTGGAGTGAGTACCGCGTACAAGTGTACCATCTTTACCACGTTCAATACCGTTACATGGCTCCCGTCGCTAACCGTGCGTTCGCGTTGCTATGTTTGTGCGTATGGGCAGGTGGTTTCAGGGTCGCGTGGACGAGGAGTTTGCTCGCAGCTCCATTCAGTGCACCCGGGCGCGCCAGCTTCAGGATCCCAATCGGCTGTACGATATGGTAAGTCTGTGTTGTTTACGTGTCCTCGTTGGCCTTGAGTAGTTGCAACCGTGCTAACAAAACCCGCGTTCTGATTCCCAGGATGCGACGTCGTTGAAGGGCTCCTGCGGCAACCTCGCTTGTCTGTTCGCGTTAGACAAGACCCTTGCTCAGTTGGACGCGGTTGCTGCCAATGGATCCGGGCCGCAATTCTCGAGGCCTACCGCGAAGACTCTGAATGCACTGCGGCATGACGCCCACCAAAGCGCCGAAGAGCTCGCGTTCAACTTGAGCGTGGATTTGCCGCGACACAAGCACGGCGGTGAGGCTGAGGGGGTTGAATTGGGGAAGATGCATGAAGTGACAACGGGTGCGCGGGTTGCTGACCATGGTGTACTCGCTCCCTCAGGTGCCGCTGGTGTTTCGAGCCGCGGAGGTGCTCGCGGCGGGACGACGGTCCACGCTGATGACCATGGGGCAGACGATACCGCGACTAAGGGTGCACCCCGCGATGACGCTGACCGCACTGTAGCGCGTGAGGGGGAAGAGTCAAGCGAGGAGGAGGAGGAGGCACACGTGGTCGCGGCCGCGGCAGCCAACAGGCCCGCTACATCCGGCAAGAGCATCAAGCACCTCGCGCAGCACTTGGCCCCCGGTGCTGGAAGCGCGGCCCCGAGTGGTGAGGTCGCGGGCAAGAGTCCCGTGACATGTGCGCGTGATCACGCGTCCCTTTCCGCGTTGCCCTCGCATAGGCTTGCTGCCGAGATCCTGCAGCTTGACTGCAGGCTTGCAGCGCAGGCGGAAGAGATCGCACGGCTGAAGATACGCCAGGAGTCGGGGGTTGGAGGGGTCGCGGTCGTGGGCTCCGAGGAGCTCGCGGCCGCGCTGTCTAATGCGGTTCGGTTGCTGGAGAGGGAGGCGAGGGCGCTCGCGCAGGAAAGGGCGGCCCTGCTGGACACGCGTAACCAGGAGGCGTTGGTGCTGGGGCGAGTGGACGCGAGGTTGGGCCAGCTGCAGGGGGTGGTGGCGGACTCCATGGAAACCGCTAAGAAGAAGTTGACGGACGAGGTTGCGCGGAAGATCGACAACATGTCGTCCGCGGTCTCAGCGACAGCAGAGCGGGCAATCACAACCAGCGGGGTCACACCCTCATCGCGCTCGTCGGAGGGAGCCCGACGCCGCGCACCGGTACGGAAGATCCGGCCGCGACGGAGAATGCCGAGCCCGGGGATGCTGAGCATGGAAAGCGGGCGGCGGGTGGGAAGGCCGAGACTCAGCGGGGGGCGAAGAGGCAGAGGGTTCCTCAGGCAGCGGCCGCGGTGCGCCACCCGAGCGTGCATGACATCCTCAAGAACAAGTGGGGCGCTGCATCGCGAGGCGCTGCACCGCCCGGTCAACCGGGGTCGAGCTCGCGCTCCATCCCACCTGGAGAAGCTGCACCCAAAGCACCGGGCCCTGCCGGGGCGACCGCGACAGTGACAACCACTGCGGGTAAGGGCAAGGGTAAGTTGGAGGATGGAGAGGTGCCGGCCGCTGTGGGTTCGCTTGCAGCGGGGCGTGAGGAGCAGTCCGCGGCGGCTGCTGCGGCGGAGGGAAGGCAGACCGCTCTCGCACCCGCTCATCCCGCGATTACCGCGGGTCATCTGCACAGCGCGCTGGCATCTGCAGGTCCGAGCGCTGCCGCGGGAGAGGCCAAGACGGAAAAACGCGGGCGAGGCAAGAAGTTGCCCCCTCCACCCGTGTACACCATCGACGAGGACGATGCGGACTAGGAGCTCGAGAATCTCGCGAGCCGGTGGGTCGGGGAGGAGGGCGACGGAGGAGAGCAGGGTGTGGTGGACGCGGTCGAACTTTTTAGCGGCGGGGAGAGCGCGGACGAGCAGGACGCAGACACCGTGGTCGTGCCCAGTGGGCCAACGGGGGGACAGGGTGACACAGTCAGCAAGCGCAAAGGCTGTGGTATCCGCCATCCTCCCAGGGGCGGTCCTGGCTTGGTTTCTGAACCGCATCTGGGGGGGAAGAAGCGGTGGCTTGGACAAGGCGAGCGCGACGACCTGCAGTACAAAACCGCGATCGCGATGATGCCGTACGACCTGAAGGTGGATCCCGGGCTGCACCTCAGCTCTAAGCAGATGCGGGATTGGGCCACGGACCTGTCCGCTGCCGAGGGGCTACACACGGGCCTCCTCATCACCATGCATCACCGCAACCTCGTGGCCAGCAGGGAAAGGTGAGCGGTACCATCTCACATTCATCTAGCGCGTTCATACTGTCGTGTATGTTGGGGGTGGGGGGTTGGTTTATCGTGTTCTGGCCGCTACACCCACTGCGTGGCAGGTGGACCCGCATGTTCAAGCACTACCGCGAGCTGACCCAGCTCGGATCGACCACCACCAACGAGATTGCATGGGCCGCGGTAGTGGGCACGGAGGCTGCAGCAGAAGAGACGGAGCTCTACCGCGATGTGGATCCGAGGGATTACGCGGGAGCGATCGCGTGCGCGATCGCACTGGTGTGGGAGGTGACGCGCGGTTCGGCGGTCTCGACCGCGTCGGATTCTGGCAATTTGGCCGCGCGAGCGGTTAACTGCCAGAGGGATCGATGCCGTCTGTTCCCCGTTGTAACCGCGTACGTCATCAGGGCTGTACGGCGGCGCAATTCTCGCGAGAAGCAAGCTGGTGACGACGAGCCGAAGGTAGTCGCGGATCCGAGGGTGGTCGCGGACGCGATTGCATCTGAAGTCGTGAACGACGTCGTCGCCAAGTCTCGCGACCTCAGGCACATTGAGATGGCTGCTCGCGAAACGGTGGACGTTATCATCACCTGGTGCGACTGCTCGGTTGCGTGGAAGGTCATGGAGTCCATTGGGCTTTACCTTGCCCTGCCCAAGGATCGTCTTAAGAAGCGGACTTGAGTGCGTGTAGTGTCGCGTCGCGTGTGCGCAGCCTGTCCACCCTGCTTGAGTTCTACTCGCGGTGGATTGTTGTTCATGTTGCGGACATGTGTGCATGTAGTATATCGTGTGTGTTTGTGTGTATTAGCGTGAGAACATAGTGTTGACTTGGATCAATATGTGCTTGAAGACAGAATCATGACTACCGCGGACGGGAACCGCGAAAAACAAGCTTGAACAGCCATTCCTGGTCTGCATCACGCACTTTTCGAACGCGTTTCAATGGGAACCACACACATGTCGTACGTTGAACATTAGAAAACCATTGGTCCACACTCTCCTACATTACAAACACAGTCGCGAAGTGAGCAGCCTGACAAACCATGTCCCGCGGTCGCGATCTCACGCACTAAGCTAGCGGAGGCATCTGGTCACAGTACTGAAGCCACGCGACCGGAAACTCAGACGCGGGAAGCGAGGCATCGATGAGGCGGTCGCGTACAAGCATCCATTTAACCCGCAACTGCACCTCCGCAGGGGTACCCTTCTTCAGCTCGCTCAGCGACGAGTCAACACTCTTCTTCACCGCGATCCCTTCCGACACACCCGACATGCCCACAGATCGGGACACGAGGTCGAGTTTCTCGAGCACGACCGCGATGTTGTCTCCCTGCTCCACCCTACGGGAGATGAAGTCCATGACTCGCTTCACACGGTTTATCGCGTTCTGGGCGGCGTTCTGGCCGCCCTTCTCCTTCCCCATGAGCTCGGCCATTCGCGTAACTGCACCACGGGGTTGGGCCAGTAGCGACTCTGGACTCTCGCCTACCAGCGCGTGCGTGGACTTGTACAGCTTCCATCCGTCCGACGGCTTGGTCGCGTTCACCCATGGTTTCATGATCGCGTCCCGAATAGTCTCATCCCTGGTCGGCTGTGCTGGCTTCTTACGCGTCCCCTGGTCGGTGGGGGTTGCGGCATTGGTGGGCGCGGCCGCGGCTCCAGGAGTGTTTGCCGGTCTCGGATCCGCGGTCGGCCCTGAGCTGCTCACGGTGAGACGCGACAGCTGGGCTTCCAGGTCGTTCACGCGCTCGTCCTTCTCAGCCAGCCTCCGGTCGCGATCTTCCAGCAGCCCCTCCAGCTCTTTCACCCGTCTCTGGACCGCGGCCAGCTCTACGGCCAACCTGGTGTTGTCCGCTTGTGAACGTGTCAGGTACTCAGTGAGGCAGGCCACTTGGTTCTGCGCGTCCATCCTGGTACTGACCTCCTGCATACACAGAACGCGAACGCGTAAAATGTGATGGGTACGCATTGACATTACAGCCGAACTAGTAACGCGACCACACAGTACGCACCGCGGGCTGGGTCAGTGTAGGGGTGTTTCGCTGTACTATGGCCAGCTGATTTGCCAAGGAGACATCTGCTGCCCACCGCGCAAATTCCTCTGTCTGGCAGAGCGGGTTGTTGACCACGTACGGGTGTCGCGGCTGGTGTATGTAATACATGGCCAGGTCTTGTGCGACCGCCATTCTAGCCTCCCCATTCAGCTCCTTCAGTATGTTTAGACCCGCGGTGTCCTGCTTCTCCGGCTTCTTCTCTTTGACCATCTTGCTGTTGTAATCATGGCACTGTGCAACACAACAACGCGATAGTTTAGGGGTTTATGTGGAATGATCGCGGTGTGTTGATACTACTATGCGCGGCCCACACCCACCTGTTTCTGCCCTTTGTCCTCGGCGGCCCATGGGAAGATGTGCTTCTTCATCAGCTTCTCCAGCGCCTCGCTCGGTGGAACTGTTGCGCGACCCAGAAAGTAGTCACCATCAACCCCTGTGAAGCCAGCCTTCAGGAGCACGGCCTCCCTCGGAATAGTTGTGAGGTAGTGCTTAGTCATCACGTCGATGAAGCGCCACCCCCCCAGTCTCGCCAGCTGATCCGACGGCATTCCGTCTGCGGCCGCGTGCTGAGCCCCTCCAGCTCTAGTCGCGTGAACGACACGCGAGCATGTGATTCCCGCGTCCCCCAGAATCTTCGCCGCCCAGTCGTGATGAGTCGTGGGCGGTATCTGCTTCTCGGTGCCCGCGCGAAGGGGGAAGAAGAGGTACTGGTCGTACCACGTCGAAGGTTCCGTGAAGTCGAGAGGGGGGGCTATGTCCCCGTAGAGGATAGGGACCAAGTCGTACACCCAGTGCAGCCATAGCAGCGTGGCTCCGACCGCGCACAGAGTCCAATCAATGTGTCTCACTGCCGAGATGTAGTTGAGCGAGAAGTCCTTGTTTGTCTTGCCCGTCCTGCACGCGCAGACAAACGCGAACGCATTCCGCACTGGATCCGTCTCGGATTTTGCGCCCAGCTTCCACATCATCATGTCTGGAAGCTGGAGGTTTCGGATCGTGCACCCGCGAGCTAGTGTGTGATGACCGAGGACCGTCATCGTCCTGATGCAGAGGTCGCGATGCATTGCCTGCGTGTACTGTTGCTTGGCTAGTGTGAAGCTGCTCACGATGGCGGCCATGCTGGTTTTCCGCATCATCTTCTTGAACTCGTCCGGGTTGTACGTGTCCGCGGCCGTGCCCCGATGGCGATCCATGTGTTCCCTGCATCAAACCAGTTCCACGATTGTGAGCCTCTGTACGAACGCGGTAAACTCGGACATTCGCGTTCACTGAGTACGTATACTTACGCGATGAACCGCTTGTACTGGTCGCGGACTTGAACGCGGACCCAGATGCGACACTCCGCAAAGTCGCGCAGGAGATTCAGAACCGGCTTCCTGAAGATGGCCCCATCCAGCTTGATGAGCATGTTCAGAGCCTTGAGACGCCCCATCAGCATTGCAGGGGAGCACTGGCGTCTCTTCTTCAGGGTCTTGTCGGGCCGCTTGAGTGTGGCCATCCTGTCCGCCTGTGCGACCGTCTCGTTCGCGAGGAAGGTCACGTATTTGCGTAACCTCCACGGATTCGTCTCAGGGCCGTGGAACCACTGCTCGTCGCCCTTCGCCATCTTCCAGTCACCACCCATGTCCTGCTCGAGCGCGGCTCCGATCTCGTCGGGGTTCGCGTTTTCCAACGCGGCCTCCTCACCGAACCTATTCGCGTCCAGCTTCGGCAGCTCGTGCGCCATGAAGAGCTTGTACTCTCTTGCCCAACCGCGATATTTCTTCAGCGTGGCATCAGAGACACCGTAGAGGATGCCCATGCACACCTCTCTTTTCGCGGCCGGCGTGTCGTCCACACCAAGCCGGTTCCAATCCGCGATGGGAACCTCCAAATCCGTTCGCGTACCCCGCACCCGTTCGTTGTCTTCCTCCTCCCCTCCGTTGAGCGCGGACAACGAGTTAGAGAGGTAGTTTTCGTCATCTTCATTCCAACTATCTTCCTCATCTTCAGCGTCCTCCTCGTCATCCTCATCGCTTTCCCCCTCGTTACCCTCTCGCGATCCGAGGCGTGCCGTGTGAGGCGTGACTTCGACTCGCCGCCTCCTTACTTGCGGTCTACTGACTGGGACGTTCCCGGTACCTCCGGTCGCGTTACCACCGGTATCTCTGCCTCCGTTGCCTAACACCCCAGGCGCGCTCCGCCCATTCGCACTACCTCCGTTCCGTCCCACACCGGTCCCACGTCCCGCGTTCGCTCTCCCACCCCTTCCTCTAGCACCTCTCGCACTCTCACCTGTCCCTCTTCCCGCGTTCCCTCTCGCAGCTGCACCTCTTCCTCTTCCCGCGTTACCCCTTGCACCAGTCCCTCTTCCGCTTCCCGCGTTACCACCTGCACGCGCTCCTCGTACCGCGTTCCGCGCGTTCGCCTGTGGTTGTTTACCTTCACAGTTCTCGTCCGCTGCGGTCGGTTGCGCGGGGGTGCGGATGTGGACGTCCGGGTTTCCCGGCAACAGCGAGTTCACGTTCCAAATTGGCGGCGAATGTGCACGCGCGCTGGCATTCATCCCCGCTCCAACATTCTCCGCACGCACTGATCCATCGGGAACCGCGACCGTCGAAGGGCCGTCTGCACGCGCAGGGGTGTCCAGCTCCATCTGTAATGGTTCTATGCGGTCACGCGGGGCTTGCACTGGTACCTGGATTTCCGGTTGAATCGCGCTGGGGAATGGGGTTGACGGCGCGACCGGAGGCGTCGCGACAGCTTCGGGCGCGTTCAGCATGGGGTCTGGTTGCACGCCGATGTACCCGTACCTGAATCCCACATTCCCGTACTGCGGCCCTACGAAGCCACGCACGGGCATCCCAAAGAGCTGGCATGAGGGCATGGACGCGTACGCGGTCTGGTGTTCAGCAAGCCTTTGTCCGGGATGCGGCGTGGATACTCCACGGGAGTTCAAATCATCCTGCTGGGCATGGAACGCGACCGTCGCCGATGCAAACGGTATCTGTGTCCGCGGTGCTAGGTGGAGCCCGTTGACCAGTTGCTGTGGGTGAAACGCGGGCAAACGCGTGCCAAAAACCACAGGCTGCACGTGTGGGGTGCTCCATGTGGGGATGTGCGCGTGCATGTTGGCCACGGGAGCGCTTGGCGGATCTGCATTATGGATTTCGGCCGCGGAAGGAATAGCCGAAGCATTGACGGAGGCTTCAATGATTGGCGCCGCGACGCGATTCACGGTATGCATGCAGCGTGCGACATTGCCCCTACTCCTATAAACCGCGTGCGTCAACATGACGCGCGATCGCTAATGTGACAACCGGGTGTGAAGTGTACTCCGTACGACGCGACCGTGGTGCTCACTGGCTCTTGAACGCGGCCCACATCGCTAACGCGGCACTAGTGTCCCGTTTCCCGTCAAGTCAGGTGACTCCAGTGTGGCATGAGAGGGAGGAGCCTGTGGTGCAACTGGCGTGCGGAAAGCGAAAATGTGGGCATGCTGGGAGTAATGACCGGCCACTGCGTGGACGTGCATGACACGTTACTGCGATCGCGGCTCGACCAAACAGCGACAGCTGTGTGGCTCGTTCAATGTGCTGCACGTGTCAGTCAGCATGGAGCCTACCAGATCGCGCCAGGTGTTTCCGAACCGGGTGTTGCATCGCGTTTCCCAAGCCTATCGATGGGCGAATTCGGTTCGCGATTTGATGTGAGACTTCGCACCCAATGGTAGCACTCCTGTTTTTCCCGATCGCGCAGTTGCATGCGCGGAATGCCCTGCCTGTCAAGGTCTGTTGACCAATCGCGTTGGTTTTTTCCTGAGTCGCACATGCATCGGCGCGTAAGAACGAGGTGGGTTCTTTCGGTTTCTGGGGGGTCGCGGAGCTTTCGGTGGAAACCTGGTGGATTTCACTGAGCCACTCAGGGCCGCGCAAGGTCCAAAACTGGTGGATTTCTGGAGGGCCGACTTTGCCTCACGCGTCCCCCGATGTCTCCGCGCCCCGTGCATCCCAAGGCGTGGGCGGGGTTTTTCCCGAGCCGCGCCGTATGAACCCCCCAGGTCATCCCGACGGGAAGAGGAGCGGATTGAACTGACTATGAACTAGAGATACCAGCTGTGATGAGAAATAGGTGCCACTACGTAGATCTGGATTCTGGAGAACGAGTTTATTCCTCTAGTTCCTCACGGTGAGCGCAATCTCCTGATCGGTCTCTACGAAAGCCTGACTGCTCGTAATCTGCTACTTGCCAATATTTTTTACCGCCTTAGAAAATGGCTTCCTCTACGCACGTGAACTATCTGTCTGACGATCTCCTAGTCAGGATTTTATGGCACTCTAACCGCGGTAGCTGTCGACTGTCAGATCGTGAACTTCCCTGGGCCCGACCGAGGCCTAGGCATCCTCAAGTGATCCTGGAGGAACCTGAATAGTTGTTTCATGAGGACAACGAAATTCCGTCTGCAAACCTTCCTGATTCAGCTGACGCTGCTTACAGCCTTCGCATAGCATCCGTTTGCCGTCGATGGCGGAATCTCGCTCGGAATCACGTCGCGATGTTGCTTGTGAAAGAACACCGCGTCGTTTCTCTTCAGGATCTCGTGAACGCCATAGCTTGCTTCCCAAATCTTACGCACCTCCATCTCTGCGGTAACAGCGTGGAGAATATTGACGATTCCTTCCTCGCTCGTCTCACCTCGTCGTGTCCTCTGCTGAAAACATTCCACGTAGCACCAGAGAACGCTCCAGACTACTGGACCTCTGACGAGTGGAAAGTTTTCCATCCAGTGACTCAGGCTGGTCTTGCCTATTTCTTCCAGCACTGTACTCAATTAGAACAGCTGACACTCCGCTGCTTCTTCGACGATGATAAGCTACCGCCTTTGTTTTTTCAGCTTGCGAATCTCCGTTCCATGTTTTTGACCGACGCCTCAGTTTTGACCGATCCAAGACTTGGAAAACTTTCTTCAATCTCAACTCTTAACATTCAGACTGAAAGTGTAGATGCAAGCCATCTGTTAGGTCTCATTCACCTCACCGGCCTAACCAGCTTATCTTTCATGTGGGAGACTTTTGTTGAGCCAGAAAGCCAGGATTCTTCCTCCTTTACTTTCGTACAGCTGCCATCTCTCCAGTCTTTGGAGTTTGAACTTTACTCCCTGCCATTCAACTCCGCATTTCCTTCAGGATCCTCATGCAGTCTCTTGAAACGTCTGGTGCTCGTACGTTGCACTGAAATCACACAATTTCCAAATGATATTGGAGACCTCCTGCCGTGCTTCGAAGACCTGAGCCTTATTGAATGCAGCGCTTTGGTTGATCTGACTGACAATTTTACTTCGCTGAGCAGCTTGCAGAGCTTGAAGGTCGACTCATGCGATCTCGCGCTTCTGCCAGAGAATTTTGGAAATCTGATCACCCTGAAGACACTGGTGCTGATAAATCTGCCTCTCACAAGTCTCCCAATCTCCATCAGCCATCTCTCGTCATTGGACACCCTTGCCTGCAGGTTTTTGTTCTGTCTCCTCACTGAAGTCGCTGTGCCTTCATGCAGTGACAGATCTGGAGATTCCTTGCTCAAATCCTTGGAAGCGCGAGTCATTTTATTATCGCCACGTGGCAGCACAACGATCGCGCAAAGCGCGTTTCGTTTTATTTTTCCCGCACTTGAATTGTGAATTTTGGTTAAGTACATTCGGTTCCATGTACTGGGCCGTCCTCGAAATTTTTTGGAGGGGAATCAAGCTACAGTTGCAACGGTTTTTGTCTCGTCAAACCCACCAGATTCGATTCGAATCCACTGTTGTCCCGGTTTGGATTTGCCAGCTACCAGGTACAGTTGTTCCGCATCACCCTCGGCAACATTTCACCAAAACCGTTGTATCCCACTTTGGCGCTCTTTCCGTGGTCATGAAAACTAATGACCGTTCGCGAGCCGTTGTGAGGCATCCTGAAACTGCAAGTCTCGTTACTTCTCACTCACAACCAGGGACAAGCTCGAGTTCACAGTTTACCTAGCGAAATGTCTTAGTCTATGCTTAGTCCACTTCCCTAACAGAGTTAGTGCGTTTCGCCGCGTCGCCGGTCATGGACGGCGGGCGCCATTACGAAAGTCTTATTGAGAAAATGGTAGGGGCGCCGGCGTTTGAGCCTGAGCTTCCCGAGTGTGACGACGACGCTTTTTTAGAAGAGAACAACGTTTACTCCTCTAGGGACAAATGCCTTGATGCGGTCGAGGAGTACGCATTGTTTCACGGTTTCGGGATTTACCACGAGACGGTGCGGAAGAACTGTCAAACATTATACATGTTGAGCTTGTTTAGGCTGCAGTGGGTTAGCCTATAGGGGGTACACAATTCTAGGGTTAGGTACTTGTACTCATTTCACTGCTAGTTCATTCATTCCTCGTTCAGTTCTTCTGACATGGTTTCAGAGCAGGTCCTTCGCTAGGACCTAAGTTTTTTTTTCGGGCCCACCTCTACTGACTGCCTCCTAGCGCCTTAGTGCGCCCTACTGTCGGAGTGCTGCGTTAGCGCCTCCCCCTCAGCGCCCTCGTGCGCCCTCGTGTACGGCCCCTTAGTGGCCCCGTCGAACCCGCGCGCGCCCCGATTTCGGCCCCGTTTGGCCCCGTCGACCCGCGCGCGTCCCCCCTTAGAGGCCCCGCTGGCCCCGTCGACCCGCGCGCGCCCCACTTAACGGCCCCGTCGACCCCACGCGCACCCCGTTTAGCGGCCCCGCGGCCCCGTCGAACCCCGCCTAGAGGCCCCGCGGCCCCGTCGCGTCCCGCCTAGAGGCCCCGCGGCCCCGTCGCACCCGCTTAGAGGCCCCGCGGCCTCGTCGCCCACCACCTCACGGCCTCGCGACCCCGCTGCGCCCCGCTTAGCGGCCCCACGGCCCCGCAACCCCCGCTTAGAGGCCCCCGCGGCCCCGTACCGCCCCGCTTAGCGGCTCCGCGCAGCCGCGCAGCCCGAACCGAGCCGCGCCGCCCGACCGAGCCGCGCCGCCCGTACTAGCAGCTCCGTTGATACTGCTACTCCTACTACTTCTCCTACTGCTACTACAACTGTTGCTACTGCTGCTACTGCTACTATGGCTAGTCCTCCCGTACTTGCTTTCGATGCTGAGGGCCGCCCAGTGAAGTTTGACACCTGGCTAGATGACCTGCACCTCTTCCTACAGCTCACTGCCAAGGAGGATATTTCACTGTACGATCATGCCCTCGGTCACGCTACTGCCCCTCCTACCACTGCAGACAGCACTCAGCGCTCACAGTGGCAGACTCGTGACGCCCACGCTCGCTTCGCTATTCGCAACTCCCTACCGCTAGATGAGCGCGAGCACTTTGGCCAGCACAAGACTGCTAAGGACCTGTACACTGCTGTAGTTGCTCGTTACTCCTCGCCTGCTTCTGCCACACTAGGCCGCCTCACCCTCCCCTACCTGTTCCCCGACCTCGCCTCCTTCAGCACAGTCGCTGACCTCATCACCCACCTCAGGACTAGTGAGGCCCGCTTTCGCGCTGCTATGCCTGACGAGTTCCTTGCCAGCAACCCCCCCCCGCTCTGGATCACGCTCTACCACATCGTCACCCGCCTCCCTGACTCTCTGCGCGCAGTCAGGGACCACTTCCTCGCTCGCTCTCCCACTGAGCTCACCATTGCCCTCCTCGAGAAGGAACTGCTTGCAGCTGAGGCGAGCATCGTCGCTGTAGGCACCTCTCGTGGCGACCCCCGCACCCCGTTCTTTGAGGGGTGTTCCCCTTCCCCCCTTCTCCCCTCTGTCGCCTCTGCTGCTACTGTCGACCTCCTTGGTGCTGAGAAGGTCGGGACCGCGTCTGCTCCGAGCGGGCGCCGCAGGGGCAAAG